CTATGTGTGTTTTCAGTTTTCCACCTTAATTTTATTGAGCTAGAAAGAGTGGTAACAGGAAGGAAATCACTTATTAGAGAGTCACTAAACCTAGAGTTTGTCTAAGAAGAATACAAGAGCTCATCAAACAAGGCCACTGAAGCGTCTGTGAAAACCCAGGTTTTTACGTATATAGAGTGACAGTAATATCTATGACAGGTATTGTTTTGAAAATCAAATTAGAAATATGTAGAAAGTACCTTTCTTATAGTTACTGAATCTGAAATATTGAAGTAGTGATACACATCTTAAAATATATCCTAGGAGGAAAGCACAAAATAGCAGATGTAGAGGGAAAAAAACAATTTTTTGATTGAGAAAAGTTATGGAAAAACTTGAAGTGTATTGTATCAGTTAGTTTTTGTTTGACTGTTCTGTGGTTAGAAAAGAAAAAAACCCTCAGAAATCTCAGAGCAATATGAGAAGTTTAAACGTGGCGTTCTGTCAGCAGAGGGAAGAGATGAGGAATCCGAGATGACCCTTAAGCTTTTGCTCAGAAGGGGCGTGTCACTTCCACTCACATTTCATTGCCCATAGAAGTGCCATTGCCAAGCCTGAAGTTAGTGAGGTGGGTATTTGGGATATGAATAATTGCAGTGGATACTGAGAACAATAATACAGTCTTCAGAAGCTGTGCTCGGATGTAGCTGTTAGCTGTCGTGATTGTGAACTAAGTAACTGAAGGCTACGTCTACCTTTGACTTCATAGTAAAGGCCACAGCGGGAGTGCTGTACCTCGAGCTGCGTAAATAGACATCTTAAAATAGCCCAATACACGCTAAAGCATTTAGGGACAAAAAGACACAATACGTGCAGCTTACTCTCGAATGGTTCAAAAAAATAGATGTGTGTAGATACATATATTTATGAATATACATGTGTGTGTAGCGGGAGGGAGGAAGGGCATACATGATTGCAAGTGTGAATGGAGAAATTATTAACAGTTGGTTAATCTTGGCAAAAACTGTAGAGGAGTTCTTTGGACCATTCTTGCGAACTTTCTGTAAGTTTGAAATTTAATCATAATGAAAACTTACCCCGCCCCCTAAAAAAAACCCATTCCAAATAAAAGCTGCCCCCTTTCTCCTTTATGTCCCCAACTCCTGAGCCCCCTCCCACCTACCCAGAAGTAGTTTGGGGAGAACACAGGATGTAT